ATCTGACCTATACAAGAAAACATTGGCCGATATCAGAGAAAATATTTCAAATGGACTTATCTGGATTTTTATTGATGAAATAACCGATATAGAAGGAAGATACATAGCAAATATAGTAGTTGATAAATTGAACTCAAATTGTGCTTCAAAACCATATTTATTAAACATTGAGGCCTTTGAAAAATGTAACCACACAACAGTTGTTCGTTTTCTCAAAAATTCATTAAATATCCTGTGGCCCTAGGTATTTTGTATGAAATAGTGCTTTTTTTTTTATCGGACGCAGCTCCGTACATGGTTAAAGCCGGAACAGCGTTACAAATTTTTTATCCGAAAATGATACATGTGACTTGTCTTGTTCATGCATTTCATTGAGTTACAGAAACAATTAGATCTTAATTTTACGTAGTGGATTTTTTGATATCAATTGTAAAAAAAATTTCCTTAAAGCTCCAAGTCGCGTACATTTTTTTAAACAAAATTACCCCCATATACCACTCCCTCCAGAATAGGCGATCACTCGCTTGGGTACTTGGTCACAAGCAGCTGTATATTACTGTAAAACTTTTAGTATTATTGAAGATGTGATTTAAAAACTTAAAGTTGATGCCATTTCAGTAGAAAATGCCCAAAATTTGATTAAAAGTACTTAATTGAAAATTAATTTAGTATACATATCCTCCAATACCACATTCCTTGCTAATTCTATCACGAAACTTGAATCTCAAAATTTATCTCTTATTGATTGCTTGGGTATTGTCAATGATACGGTGAGAAAATTAAAAGAAGTCCCAGGAAGGGTTGGAATAAAAATCAAGAAAAAGATTGAACAATTACTTGACAAGAATTCCGGATTGAATCTAATGCAAAGGTTCACAGTGGCAGAGACACATAGTCTTGCCGTGATTTAGATTCTGCTGAATTAGAAGTTTTTAAATTTGTACCTATAACTTTTGTAGACGTGCAAAGGTCCTTTAGTCACTACAAGAGTATATTACATCCCAATCGACTTCGATTTACATTAGAAATTAAATACATATACCTGAACATATTTTTGAGTTTCAAATACTTATAAATCCGCACTCTATTAATCATTATTAAATAGGGGCGGAGTGGTCTAGTTTATGAAAAGCTCGACGTGGGAAAAATTAAACTATCCTGGTCCATTATTGTATTTGAATCTTCTGATACCAATAACTATTTAAGATTGTAATATTTTATATTTTAAAAAACGTTTTTTCATCATACAATAAAAATTAAATATTTACTGTTTCGTAATATTATTATTTTAGTAATATTTTGGTTTGCTTTAACATTATAGTGCCAAAAATGGTAAAATCCGAAGGATTAACATTAATGACTCACAAGTTACGACACAGTATAAGTATTTTTAAATTCTGAGCGTAGCGAGAAATGTATTGGTTTTTTTTTTTTAAATTTACATTTATTTTGTTTTTCTGTTGTATACCATTTTTTTTACCGAAAATCTTACTCCAATCATCAACTTTAGGGGTGGTTTCTACCATCAAATTTTCTCTATTTGATATATTTATTTATTTTAATTATTTGCAATTCTTAACTCATTTATACTTATAAAGTTAGAAATTATATACCATCAAAATTGAATTAAATAGTATTTATTTCTAATGATATGTTTAAAATTATCCAATGTAGGTTATTTAAGTGTTATTTTACTTAAAAATAATAATACTTTTGGCGTACCTAGGAGGGGGGACTTATGAGCTCTTCAACTTCACAATTGGCCATGTTGTAGACACAAAATAAAAAATATGTATAACACTGTATTCAATATTGAAAAATTATCGATATTTTTAAAAAATTAAGTTCGATTTTTATTAGCTTTTTATACAAATCTGAAAAAATGTTCTCATCTGTATGAAACTTGGTATTCTACAAGAAAAAGGTCATTGTCTACATTTTATCTCGAAATTTAACCTCTAAAAAGTNGATGACCTAGAGTTGTAAGTATTTTCGGAACGAAAAACTCATTTGAGCTTAACGGTAGGCATAAAAAAATTAACAATTTAATTTTATACAAATGTGAAGATAAACTTCATAATATTTAAAATATTATATAATGTTAAATTTAAAAAGTGTTGAGTGGTGGATTAGTGTTATTTTATGCATTTATTAATTTAAAAATATGTTCAAAAAAGCCAGGCAATTTTGCACGTGCGTACAGCTATTGTTGTAGGTGAGAATTTGGAATGGTAGTACAGGGAAAATTCAATGTATATTTGTAAGCAACTATAAACTATTGCTAACGAAAAAACGATTCTGAGTGGAGTTCAGTTGACAGTGTAATTGCTTTGCCAACAATACATATATGCCATATTATAGTAAAATAATTACAAGTTTCTAGTTCCAGAAGTTTTGTTTGAGTGCCGATAAGTACCTATTGTTGTAAGCGAGTATAAATATAGTCTTTATTTTGGTTAACGTCTATGTATATAACATTCATTAAGCATATTATGATATGATGAATCCGGGGGAACGTCCTGGTGATGACAACACGTTCTCAACTATTTAGAACACCGACTGAGCGAATTCCATCCCGTCGGTCGCCGGAAATGGGTCCCCGACCGTTGGTCGTCGGCTATTAAGTCGGTCTAAGTGAACAAGCTACACACGGCTCCTCTTGTTCACGCTAGAGTCCCAATTCCAGTGTTTAGTCACTGGATCAGTTACATTACACTTACGCATCTATATTCTTGTAGGTATTGTGTGTTATCGTTAAGTTATTCAATTTAATCTATTTTATTAATTTGTGTAATAAATCGTTAACTCTTATTTTAAGCTAATCCATCTTCAAGTTCTCTCACTTCTAATAAACCTTTTCTCTGTGGTACAACCGCACACCTTACGAGAAGCGCGCATTTATATCACTATCGGATATCTTTTATATACATATATTTCTAGATTGTGATGATGGGTACCTAATTTTGGATGGATAAAAAAGAAAAGACTATTCAATTAATAATTATCTGATCCACATTTTTATCCAAAATAGTCTCTTTGGGATAATATTTAAACCAGAGAATCTTGGTTTACGTTACACAATTGGAGTAAAATAATATAATTGTCAATTATTGGTTACTTTAAAGATTATTTTAAAAATAATTAATTAATTAATTAATTAACTGAATACTTAAATTTGTTTTAGTTTGTATATATTTTAAAAAGGTTAAGTATTTTATGATATATATTTGAGAAAAAACTCGTCGGACTTTTTCACTCAGTCGGTTCAGACTTTTCTGACATGACACTGTTTTACACTTTTACAATTTATCTCTCATGGCAACCATTCCGTAGTAACTACAAATTAGGTATTTATTTTATTGATTTCTATAAACTATAATCAGTTATTTCTAACAAGACAAATATTTACGCGTATAAAGTATGTACCTAATATTATTTCAATAATATTTATATTTTTCGTATATCATATAATACCTAACGGACATAAATCAATATAGATACTACACTGTACATTATACATACCGGAGTTTCATTCGCCGTGAAATAAGTAATATAATACCATAATTAAATTAACTAGTAAAGTAGTAAACCTAGGTACTTAATTTCTTTCAATTTTGCACACCGCGGGTATGCATACCGATAGGTACTGTAATTTAATATGTTTAGGAAGGCCTACGTAATCGATACAAAATTTGTTTTCTTTGTTATTTACGCACGTAGAGTAATATAGGAACAAATACAAATCGCACTTTCAACGATTGCAACTTTTTGGCGGTTGGTTGAGTTCAGGGAAAAGAGACCTGTTATACATTCTATAAATAAAAGGTATTTACTATGACTTGAAATAAGTAAAAAATTTAAAAATATTTTCAAATAATTAACTAAAAAGGTTAGGTTAGGTTCAAGTCAATATGCATGTCTAGTTGCAATCGTCTCTTTTCTATGGCCTTGAAATATTCTTATACTGTATAAGCACACTTTAAAGAACGTCGTATAATATTTCAATTATCGATTGTCGTGATCATCTCATCACCATTTAGGGAATTTTTGAAATAAACCATTCAATTAGCGTATATCGAAGCGTTCGACAAGTATCGCATAATTTGTTTTGCTCCTAGGAACTATGAAAACAAATTTACTAGAAATAGTTACAATCATGTCATATTAAATGACAAGATAGGTACGCATATTATAGGTTTTTCTCTTTTATACCACATGAGTAAAGGAATGAGCCGTCTAGACTTACGCTCTCCTCGAATATCCCTTTAAAGCTCTTCTAATATTTTTGGCTATACCTTTTTTGTTCTTCTCGTCATATTATATAATTATGAGCAACAATGGGTGATTTATGCAAAAACAAATTTTAACCAACGGGGTGGTGGGGAGATCTATCACACATATACTCAACCCCCCTCTGTAGATTAAACACTGCTTCTGAACTAGGTGGCATATATTATCTTAAAAATGTATCTATAATTATTAATTCTCAATCCTAATCGCTAGTAAAATAATATATTTGCCGATTGCCGGGTACTGTAAAGATTAATCAACTGAATACCTAAATTTGTGTTAATTCGTTTACATTTTAAAAAGGTTAGGCGCTTTGTGATATATTTTTGGGGAAAAATCGTCGGACTTTATTCACTTATTCGGCTCAGACTTTTCTTACCGGACCGTTTTACACTTTTACCATTTATCTCTCGTGGTGAATCATTCAAACGCAGTATTGCTAGATTGGAAAATTAAATATTTCACTACACCTTCAGAAAATACGAGAAATTTACGCCACTGATAATATAGTAGGAACATCATAATACGTGAACATCATACATTCTATTCTCTTTCGTTTTTCCTGATATATATATATATATGTAACTCTTAAACTAAGAGACATGCATTATCTTAAAAATAGATCTACACCTATTAATTCTCAATCCTAAAGTCTAGTCTTAACAACAATTATAATCATAAAATATTATAAATAGACATAGTCGTTCAAAATGGCCATCAGCGACTATCCCCCTGAATACAATCCTAAAGTACACGGACCGTATGATCCAGCGCGTTATTACGGAAAACCCGACACGCCGTTGTCTCAAGTGAAACTGGGCGATCTGCGTGAATGGATAAGCTGTCGTAATAAGTCTCCGAGAGCGATTGCCGGCGTATTTTCCAGGGCTTATTGGAGATGGTCACACAAATACGTACAACCGAAACGTACGACGGTCGCTCCGTTGATTCATATCATCGCCGGCTCGATGTTGTTTTTCTATACAATCAACTACGGAAAAATTATTCGTCATCGTAACTACAAATATCATTAACGGTGTTAATACCATATTTTACAAGTTATCGATAGTGTAATAATATTGTTAACTAATAAAGTTTATACAATTATTTATTTTCTCTAAAAAAATTTTTGTACAATATGTATCTTTAAATAAACGGGGTGATCAATCTATTATCATAGACACTCATTATCTCGGAATATATTAACTTTTTTTCGAAATTTGTTATAAAGAAAATTAAAAACACATGCTGTTCTAAAATTTAATATTTCCATTATTTTTTGTCACTCCTTAATTTCTGGGGGTTAAATGACCTCCTAATTTTTATTTTCAAATGACAACTTATAAGTATAGTTCCATAAATAGATGGAGTAGTAGTTAAAATAATTGTTGGCGTTTTAAATTGTAATTTCTATCAATCCGTTGTCTAGATATTCCACTCATAAATTCTGATCGAGGTAGAGTTATGATTCATAATCTGTTTGGTAGCACAGTGCACGGCGTTTTAAGAATGTACCACTACTTTCCTCTGACCCAAAGTTAAAAATAGAATTTGTCGTTAACAAATTGACAAAAACTTAGACACTAAAATGTATTTTAACTCCATCTATTTATGGAATTTTTAATATAGGTGGCTATTTTAAAATCAAATTTAGGCAGCACTTTCTCCCCCAAAAATTAGGATAACCAAAAATAACATAAATGTATAACTGCAGAGCTGCTTATTTCTAACATTTTCTATAAAACAAATGTCGAAAAAAGTTAATACTTTCCGAGATAATAAATGTTATGAAACATTGATCACCCTGTATTTTGTGTATTTCGTAACTAATGTATTTTTGTTTAAAATAATTTGGATTTTATATTGATTAACGTGAACTATATATATAAAAGTAATTTTTTAATTAATAAAATTAGTTATTTATGTAGGTAATCAGTACCCTAAGCCGTCGGGTTCTCCTAGTCTAAAAATTCCTTAGTCCTAATTTATAATCATTATAAATATCTAAATCTCTCACTACTACTGTTCGATATTGCACTGTAGAAATTCGTACGGAGTATACTAAGGGATAATTATGTTGTCGACATCGGAACAAACGAGATTGGTATTTTAGGTTTTGCGGATGATTTGAATATCGTTGGTGACGATGGAGAGTTGCATCATTGTATTTGATCAATGTTATTAATAATATATTTTTCGATGTCAATTAAAAATAGCATAGTATATGATTTATTTTATACGTTTATAAATAATATATTATATTATAAGGTTTGCTAGATATTAAAATTATTATGACAATTTATGGTTTTATTAATTATACGAGCGGTATATAGTATTGCGTGCGTTCGTCTCTTGGACAGGATAGTGGTGATGTAGCGGATACAGTAGACGAATGGGCAGTTCACTGAATGACGGACTGGGTACAGTATAAGGGATAGAATAGCCGTAAAGCATTTGCGCATTATCTGTTTGTTATTTGTTAATTATTATTTGTTTACCACATTATCGTAGGTATATCACATGTATGGTGACCAGACTTACTTTTTTTTGGTGCATTGTCCTGTGTCCTTAACAATAGTTGTGAGTACATGAAATTGTATTCTTTTATTGGACATTATAAATAATAAATAAATAAACATATGTAGGAAAAATTTATTAATAAAGGTTTGTATTTATTTATTAAAATGTTTAGCTTCAAAAATTAATTTAAATATGTATACTTAAATTATACCTGTGTACTTTAATTTGGCATAAAATTACTTAAATTTCAAAGTATTTTCATCATAAAGACACTAACCAAATGAGTTGACATTATTATTTCAATTAATTAAACAGACGGCGCTATTAGTTATTAATTAGTTACTAACGCGTTAGTGATCAGTTCCAAATCATTCAACTGTCGAATCACTTCCAAGTTGCGTCACGTACTCTCATCGAATTGTGTGCATTTTTAAAACCTTTATTTTTTTTATTTTTTTCTATTATAATAAATAAAAAAGATGAACGAAAAAACAACTAACAAAAAGTTGGTAGAAGAAGTAGAGAAACATCCCATTCTATATAACTTCATTAAAAATTTCTTTCTATAAATGGATGAACCCAAAATATTCTTCATCTTCTATTTATTTAGTTATGATTATAGTAATATGCAATCATCATTTCTTCATCACTGGAATCATCCATGGTGTTGAAAAATGCTGATGCAGATCCTACTTCCATAACCCAAAAGTCAACACAATAAACTAGTGATTTCGATCATTTTTCAGTAGACTCGTGTGCGGTTCTCAGTCATTATTATGTTAGTAACCGATAAGTTATTTAAATCAAGAACCAGTTTAGTTTCTAATGAATAGCTCTGAGTATAGATGGTCTAAAGTGGATTGAATACCAGACAGTGGCGTATTTAGCATTTGTTGTAGGGAATGGATGACGAAAATGTTAGCTTACATAGCCGTGGGGGGCTACTCCATCCACACCTTCTACCAATATGTCAAATAAATAGATAGCTTGAATTTCATACAACTTTTTTTTAAATGTTTAACATATTTAATAACTTATTTATATTAATAACTTAAATTAGCATAATTGTATTTCCATAAAAGGAGGTCTAATTTCTTTGGATTCAATGAAAGTTCATCGATGTCTTCGTCAGTTTTTATTTGTATTACCGATGTATAGACATCACTGCTAAACCGTTTAATTTTGTCTAAATATAAATTTAATTTATTATAAAATACCTATCAAATAAAGAAATTATCTCTTTCATAGAATTTCTCAAATAACTATTGATTTTTTTCAAGCTTTATAAACATCTTTCTGGTTGAGACGGGCAATGTGCAAAATATTTTCATCAAAAAATGTACATTGGGGAAAATATCTTTGTCACGACTTTTCAGTGTTTCTAAACCATTTTTAAACATGACATCTCCGATTGTATTTTTCCAAATTTGTAATTTACTCATAAATGTATCACGCTCAATTACTGTTATTTTACGGAATACAATATTAGGTATATAAACTAGGAATTTTTTTTTTTGTCATAGTTCAAACTTATGAATTAATATCTATACGGTTATCCATACGATAAAATAATACGTCATGTATTCAAAGAGCCATGGATCTGTCCTCAGATTTGCCCCTGACACAGGGCGATTCGAACTCGCGTCTCTGCGCGTTTTGAACGTCGTGATTAATCGTTCAAAATTAAACATGTATTTTTATATGGGTTTTTTCACACACGAAATTGAGACGTGCGTCGGTTGCGCTTGAAACGCTCGTGTTTAATTTTGAATGTTTCTTAGCGATTCTTAACTATAATTAAACAACGATTTTCCAATGTATTTTCAATGCATTCGGTTTTTGATAAGACGGGCGATTCGGACGCTTGATCGCGCTGCGTTTTATTTTCGTTCCTTCATAATATTATACCTTCAACCAAATCGTAAAATATCGTAAAATAATTACATAGGCATTAAATATTTTCTTAAAATAATATTTATTTAATGTACCGATTGCAACATTTTACCGCCACATATTAAACGTAAAAAGGCTGCATACAGAGAGTGGTCAAAATACTTATCTAATACATCCCTTCAACTTCACCAGGACTTATCATACCAGAACCTTAGACTAAAATCTAGGAAACCTGCGTACCTAACCTCTTCCAAACTTATAGAAAACCAATATGATGGCATGGAAAAATATAAACTAGAATGGCAGAATACTAGAATTGATAATAGTAACCTAATTAAGAGGTTCAATATCCCGGTCCCAGGACAACACCTACCTCGCCAAAAATGGGTAACTTAACCGACTACACACAGGACATGGCCGTTTTGGTGAAATGCTCTATAAATAGAAAATGAAAGATTGTCCTGACTGAAACTACAGCCACTCATTACAGTCTATCTCTCACATAAGTGACTGCTCTCTCCGTTCCTTTAACGGGGCAATAGAAGAACTTCATGAAGCTTCTGACAAGGCGGCTAATTGGATAAGGTCTCTTGATATCCAACTGTAGACACCACAACTGATGAAAATATGGAATAGTTACCCTTAGTATTAGTTTCAAGACTTAATTTCGTTTGTTTTTGTCTTATTGATGTTTGATTTATATAACTGCATCTAGTTTATAACGCTTGTATATCATACCATACGATAATAATAATAATAATAATAATGTACCGATCTCCCTATGTTTTTTTCCATTTATTGGAAAAACTCCTGAGGAAAATCAAATAATTACCACTTTTAAGTACCTTCTCTATCAATTTTTACTTTAGGAAAATTGCTATCATTGTAAATCAGATCATAATTGCTGGTAAAAAAGTTGTTTACAAGAAAAAACACAGGCTGTATTGTTTTTATCAACTAATCAAGTTAAGTAATCAATACTTAAATTTCGTACATTTTCCCATTTTTTTTAATTGTTGGAAAATTCCTGAGAAAATAGAAAGATGTCTCTAAAGTACCTCCCCAGTCAGATCCGTCAATATGTACGAGGTGTGTCCTCTGTATCATTTCTTACCTATAATAGTGGCTGCCCCATTCTCGTTATCCTAGGATACATTTTTATTTTCTACTCCTAAAAATAACACAATTTCATACTGACATTAGATCATAATGCAAATATAAATGTATAAATGTAAATGTATATGAGCCATACATTTTGCTTGAAAATGTATAGTTTAATATTAAATTTAGACAGAAAAAAACAAAATCTTTTTTGCCATTATTTTATTTACTAGAATATAATTTATATTCTAAGCCACAAATAAAGTATGAATAAACTTTGAATAAATATTACATTATAGTAAAATATTTGTAATAACATAGCATAATAAGTGTAATAACATACTGCAATATGCATTTTACTAAAAAATAACACAATTATATTAAAAGTATTTAAACAATATGAAATATTATTATTATTATTATATTATATTTTACCTAAACATTAAAATTAAACTAAATGTATAAACCCATAGAATAATGTATATATAAATTTATAATATAATATGGTTCTACAATATCTATACAAATATGAAAAAAATGAATTAACATTAATATAATCCAAACATTTTAATGTAAATATCTATAACAAATTAGTTCATTATTATATTTAAAATCGTAATTTTCTCAAATTCTCTATTCCAATACTCCATAGTTGTCATCCTAATTGTTATCCTATCAATCAGTGAATGGTCTATTTCTTATAGACTGTGTAAAAAATAATAAAAAATAAAGAAGAAATTGTCAAATACATTTTTTCAGATTAACTTTAGCATGAAAATGAAATGTATTTAATTTATTTTTGGTTATTTATATATTTATATTATATTTGGAAAAACTAATTTCGTAATATTGAACATTAAAATATAATTTAAATTGAATAAATTTTTTTTTATTTGGTGTAACTTATCAGTTATCAAATACCTATTGTATTTTTGTTTCTATTACTAATTAGATTTAAATATTTTATTTAGTTTTTTTTTTAGAATAACTTCTACTTCATAAAGTACCTATTAATATTTAAATGACTAACATTGAAAACAAGATAAACACTGGCAACTGTTAGGGTGAATATATATTTTTTAACAAATATTTATGTTAAATTAATTAAAACTACATTTTGTTCATTATTTTATAATTTATTACTATATTATGAGTTTAATTTAGGTAACTTTCAGATTGTTAAACTCTAAAATAGATAAATTGTACATTAAATAAATTTTTATAAGTTATTAATATAGGATTTTAAAACTGAAATGACTCCAGTGTATTTATTAAAACATCAATAAATCGTACTTAATGCCATGAATGTGCAAAATAAAATTGAATATTTGGGATCTCTGGTGCATAAAACAAATATTTAATTCACTGCTTTGATCTGAATCCTATAATAATTATCAAATACTGAAATACGATAATAAACAAGCCCTAGTTATTACATACTCTGAAAAAGATCAGGGATTTAAAAAAATAATGCAATATTAAAACTAATTATAACTAACTTATTTTATGTTTTACTTATAAATTAAAAACACTATTATACATTTTAACAAAAATAGTTAATAAAAATGTTGTTTATTATTGTATACTACTCTAACAACACTCTGGATAGTATTATTAATAAAGTAGCAGGCACGTACACAAAAACAAATTTGGAGTGGTTTATGAAAAATGTATAATTATCAATATTACTAATATTATAAATATAAACAAATTTTAAATTTATATAAATAAATTACACAACTATTACTTTTCTGGGGGGCGGAGGGTCGAACCCCAACCTCTATCTTGTTTACGTGCCTGTGAGGTAGGTACTTGGTTTAATTCATCATATTATTATAATTTGTTGTTGTACATGATTTTTGGGGTCCTTATCGATTATTCTACCCATAATACATTTTCACTTTATCCTATTACCTACCCGACATAGTTTTGCACAACAAATCGAGTATTATTAAAATTGTTAAGTGAGCGCAATGTAAAGAGAAATAATGAATCAAAGGTAGTTTTTTTTTATATTTTTTACTGACATTTCTTATTTAATACATATACCTAAACCAATAGTATATGGTAGGTATCTAATAGTATGATGTATTAATTATTAAACTATGTATTTAATTAAGAACAAATAAATGCCTGCCTAATTAAAATAAATAAATAAATTTTATGTTTGTGTTAAGTATATATTTTTAACTTTGTACTAAAGTTTAGCATACCTAGAGTAGGTACTAACTATCTATAATGCAATCTCTATTTCATTATTTTCTTAGTTGTATTTAAATATTTACTTAATATTATTTTGGTTTTTGTATATAATTATGCAAAAGAAATTAAATTTGAATATTTTTATAACTATCCTAACTAAATATGAACTATGTTAAATTATGTTCTGTATAATAACATAATGCATATCAAAATGACAGAAACTTAATATTATAAAATCATAATTTACAATAGTCTGTTAGATAATAAACACAATAAATGATAAGTAGTTACTAGTTGATATTCGAAAATTATATTTTTGTCCATTTGTCTCATGATATAATTCTCAAAATAAATTTATTTGATATCTATTTATAATATTAATGCTAAATGTATTTTGCATAAGATATATTTTTTACCTGAAAACTGTTTTACTAATGATTATTTTTAGTAAAGATATTTTTGTACCGAATTATTAGCTTACAGTTTCAAATCAATGTTATAAAGAGAAGTAGCTAATACTTTTGTATTATAATTATTGTTAAAGCTAAGTTAGAAACACTAAAACTTTAGGTAGGTATCTATTTATAAAGCAATGGGTTTTTATTTGGTTTTATTATTTTTCTACTCTTTCCAACTTTTGATGAACTTCAGACATTGTGCACTATATTCGGTATTCATGTCATTCAACAGTCTGATGACATTGTCCATATTAATTGGACAATCGTTTGACAATGCATACCAGAGACAGTTTAGATGGCCATTAACGGCCGCGCTTCTAGTAGTGTCCTGATTCCACGGACAGCCATTCTCAAATGCATAAACAAGGCACTGCAGATGTCCGCCAGCCGCAGCTTCGGCACAAGTGTTTGAATTCCAAGGACAGCCTTTCTGGTGCGCGTACACCAGACAGTCAAAATGACCATTTTTTGCGGCCAAATTGCACGTTTCCTCTATCCAGTTGCACCCATGCCGGTGCAAATACATGATGCATTCCAGATTGCCGTCCAGGGCGTTTTCGAGAGCGAACCGTAGGCACGGCAAATTGTATAAGGCAGTCAAGTAACTTGTAGGATTGCCAGGCAACTGTCTGTTACCATGAGCTATCATCAACCAGTCTAGATTGCCGCTTTTCACGGCCGCGATTATCTTCTGATGGGGTTTGGCCATTGGCGAACGGTGATCGTACAAGTGTTTACCATACACCATGGTTGTACGTCTCCGAAACATGTTGAATAGCGTCACACAACAGTCCTTGATATTGGGCATGAGCTCATTGCACTCGAGCTTCATGTCGTCACTCATGTTCAAGTATGCCAGTTTTGCTAGGGAGGTTACTCGGCTACTTGGCATTGTTTCCTGCTGCAAGAAAAACCAAGACATCACTATATATAATTGCATTCTATACTATAGTTTTATAATCTATAGGTACTATACAAATGCCGCACTCCATACTGCTACACAAATAATATTCTACTACAGTCCCCTACTCGAACTTAAAAGTGGAATATTTTGTTAACAGATTGGCGAAAATTGGATTTTTTAACTACAGAATTTTTAAAATAAATTGCCGTTTGAAAATCAAAAGTGAGGAGCGGTTTCATCCCAAAGATAATGCAAAATATAGTAATTACAATGTTGCGTACATTTTAAAATACATGATTCTAAATGGTTTTAAATAAAGTACCTAAGTCATTTTAGATTCTGAGTGGAACGAGCAATGTATTGGTTTTACAATGATGTTTATATATTTTTATGTGAACATTTTCTACCAGAAAACATACTCTGATTATCAAGTATAACATTTTTTCTGAAAGGAAGTGTTCTCTGGGTAGTAATTTTAGATTCTGAGTAAAGCGAGTAAAGAAGCTTATGGATTTACAAAGATGTTTTTTTTTCTTATTTTCTTTTATCTGTTGACAACTTTTCTACCAGAACACTTGTTTAGATTTTAATTGTAGCACCTTTTCTAAAAGGAAATCGGTGCGGGGAGGTACTATAAAGAGGTCATTTTTCGATTTTATCAATTTAGTAACTAAAGCATAATTAGGGGGGCTAAGACCCCTCCCCTCCGAATTTTTTTACTTCAATTGCGTCTATGTATATGCATTTAAAATGGGTTGAAAATATCCAAACTAATTTTCTCACTACACTCGAATTAACATTAATTTGGTCATCAAATTGTCAATATTGTTAGTAGAAAAAAGTTTGATAAAATTAAAAATAACGAAATTGGTAAAGTCATAAATATATTTTCCGTTTTATCTATAATTTTCTTTCCAGTTTTTTCCAACTCCAGTGAAAATTTAATAAATAATATTTCAAATACACTACCCTAACTAAATAAAATTGTCTTTTGAAGTAATTGTTTAATAAGACAAAGCAAGATGTCTGGTAGTAAAGTTGTATACAAACATAAAAAACAATAATAATATATGTCACAGTAAAACCAATAGATCCCTCACTATGCTCAAAATCTAAAAGAAAAAAACCTATGTCACCCAGGTGACAATTCGATGTAAACACTAAATAGTGGTTCACAATCTTTTTTTGAAAGATTTAAATGCACAATTTAAGAACCGTTGCTATAAACTGTCTATTAATTGAACTACAAGACTATTTAATGTTGGAGAGCAATATAAGCTATGAAAATAGGTTATTTTATCTGTGGTGCCGAGATTATTTACACTTTGTTAATATGCACCCGGGTATACGATGTATACCCGCGTATCTCTCCAATACACCACTAGGTATTATTTGAAATATATTACGGCTAGTGTTGGAAATAGATAACTAGTAATTAACTAGATAAAGATAATGATTAATGAACTAAATTTTATCTAAATAAAGATAAAGATAAGTGAACTAAATTTCATCCAAATAAAGATAAAAATGAATACATTTTTATCTAGATAAATATCAGAAAAATTAATGTTTATGTTTTCAAAAATTTAGTGATACAGGTATTCGGTAAAAAAAAAAAAAAAACAAACACTATAAAAATAAACATAAAATGAAATAGTTGATTTTTAAATAAACATAATAAGGACATGAGTAGGTACATGATAAATTTACATGTCATTCTTTGACTGGTAATTTGAATAATTTTACTTGTAATTCTATGAAACCAATATCAGCTAACGAAGACTTTCGTTATACTGTGGCGGTAGTAGAGGTAGATGTTTTCGCTTTTGCTATTGTCTAATATTAGTTGCTCTTACAATATAACATTACATTATTTTATATTTTTGGGTTTTATAATTGTTTACAATGTAAAACTACAAACTAATGAACATTCAATATTGAAATACATTCTTAGAAGTTTTCCCAGCAAATGTGAAAACCTGGATAAACGTAAGAAAATTGGGAAAATCAGTACAACATTAAACAAATATTATTAAAGAAAATATATAAAGCATATTTAATTACTTTACTATAAAATTACATATATATTAATGAAAAAACATCACTATCAATTGAACTGCGCTCAGAGTCGTTTGTTTCGTAAGCAATGGTTTACATAAGTAACTATTTTGTTCTATTATATTATGTATTTATAAGTATTAATAAGTATAGCATAATTAATCTTTATAGGTGTATTATTTTAAATGCACTTTTACAATAAAAACAAATAGAAAGTGCCCATAATTTTAGTCATATTCTTATTTAAATACATACAAATAATAGGATTTCTGGTCAATATTGATAATTGAATGTATATTATCTGTTAGCAACGATTAACCTAACAAAAAAAACGATTCTGTGCAGAGTTCAGTTGATAGTTATATTTTGTCAACAATATATATGTGTGTCATATTATGGTAAACAATTAAATAGGTATTATATATTATCATTAACAAATAATTGTTTGACGTACCGATTTTCCTACGTTTTCCCATATTTTTCCTAGTTTTTCACATTTGCTGAGAAAACTCTTGAGATAATCTGATATCTTGAGATAAATGACCTCTATAAAGTACCTCTCCAATGAAATTTTCTTTTAGAAAAATTGCTATTATTATAAGTTTGAGCAAAATTGCAAGTAGAAAAGTTGTTCGGAGGAATAAAAAAAACCATAATACTATACAAATATATTTCGTAAATTTTCCCGTTTTTTTTTCGATTTTCATTAAAGAAGCTAAACTTAAAATTGGAGCAAGATTTTTGGTAGAAAAGTTAACAGAAAAATAAAAAATAAAACATCTTTGTAAAACCATAAGCTCTTCCCTTCACTCAGAATCTAAAATAACACTTTTTATTATTATACAATATAATATTTACTTTGATGGAGTCGCTTCCGTTGCCGTTGCCTTTGTGATCAGCCATCTTTGTGATATTAATGGATCTATTCTGAAACGCAAAATAAATAGTGTAAAATGCAGTATAATCCAATTCACACATTATTGGTAATAAAATCATTGTTATTTATGGTACCAAGCATTCAAGTGGATTGTTGCGTTTTGTGTGCACTAAAAGAAAAATTAAATAAAAAAAAGGAAAGAGAACGGTATTTGGAAGAATAGGAGGAAACAGAGAATCTGGTTTCTTACTTATTTCCAGACAGTCTTTTTCATGAATATGGTTTTTCTCAAACAGTATATTTCTCTAATATTATTTTTTTAATACTATTAATCTAATTTTCATAATATCGTTTTCTTTAATAATATATACTAACCTAGAAGCCGGGATTTTAAAAAACTATAGGGAGCTTACTATTTTATAAACACACGCACAGTTTTATCTAAATTTTATTAAATAATTTCTATTTGTATTTTCCTTACTCTGTTCGTTAAACAATAATTACTAAAATATAGTTATTTATTGTTTTACATGTTACTAGCTGTCCCGCGTCTGTGCCAATTTTTTGTATTATTTTACAATATTAATTTTCGGTTTTGATCGTGTCAGAATTGAATGAAAACAAGTATGTGGAAAGTGGAAAATCCAAGACAATAAACACTTTTTCTTTGCTGTGAATATCAAAAAAAAAAAAAGTTTATCTTTCTCAATTGATTTGTTACAAATAAAATTATTATTTTGAGAATATACCTGACAAATATTTATTTTTGTAGTATGAAAACCGTGGGGTGCTGAGCTGCGTCTTATCGAGCTCATAGGGCTGAAGTTCTAGAGCCCCCTGTACAAACTTCCTAGAGCTGACGCTAAAGATGAAGTGCCATTGTTTTATTTATTTATACATCATTTGTGATAAATTGGGAAACTAGGATACATCAAATTATTTAATTTATATTTCTATGTTAGTGATAACCTATTACTAATGAAACACGATTCTGAGCGAAGTTCAAATATACATGTTTTGAAATGCCGTATTTTTTTTGATTTTTAACAAAATTTGATCCTAAATCTCATTAAAAAATGAAAAAAAAAAATGCATTACGATGAACTTTTTTTATCACTAAGTACATTTTATAACGAACCTCGTGTAAAATTCTCAAGAATTTTTGTTTGGTTAATAATTCTATAAATAGTACCTACCAAAGAAAAACAAAAAAAACTAAGCAAACATAAAATGCCTATATATTACACAAAAATCCACAACATTTTTTGAACATTTTACTTCACCTAGAAAACAAAAATTTCACCATCACTTAAAAAGGCTAATGTAAGTATTCTGTAAAATGCTTAATTCTCTCTAAAAATTTCAAACTGAATTACAACAAAAAAAAACATTGAAAATGATTAAACCATATTTCTGTAAACATTCCCATTTTTTATTATACTTCCCCCCTCCCCCGGTTTTACTCCATTAATAAAAAAAAACTACAAGAAAAATAAAAAAAATAAACTATCTTTTGATTAGACTAATATCACCAACTAGATCCAAAATGCAACAAAAAAGATATCTTGGTTAAAACTCAACCACTTTATTTTTGGCTAACCACTAACTTTTTGTTAATTATAGGAAAATATAGTTAATTTTTCGAATACAGTCATTATAATCTTAATGTCATCAAATTCATTAGATATTTACTTAGGTATTAATAATTTGGGTATTTAGTGATAATTTAAAAAAAAAAGTTCACCTAGGAATTTAGTGACAAATTACAAGCTAGACATTTTAAAATTTCTATTTTTATTAGTACCAATTATAATTTATAACTTATAAAATATAAGTTTGGTTATTATTTATTTGTTGTTATTTGTTTTGCTATTTTGACCTAGACCCCTATTACCATTATTTCCACATTGGTAATTAATTTTTTTTGAAGGGTACTTAGTAAAATTTTTTATATTAACTGATTAACCATACATCATATTAACACCAATACATTTCCTAGCTTTGCTTGGGATCTAAATAAGAAAAAAAAAATCATGATATTTGATTTTTTCCCTCATATTTTAGAAATAACTATACTAATGTTAGGGACTGATTTGACATTCGATAACAAATAAAAAAATTAAGTGAACACTCACGAATTATTGAATAATATTATTACTATATTTTAAAAAAATCAACGGTTATTACAAATAGATAAAAAAAGATTTACGGAGGTTCGGCAAAATGCTATATCCCGACTGCCACCACGACATTACCACAGGATAAGCAAAAAGGGTTAACTTAGCGCATTCTCTCTTGCCTGTACAATATATATAAACTACCATTTACACAATATTATTAATACTAACCATTGGTCCTTAAACCTAATTAAAATACCAGAGGTTCGTAACACCCCCCTACACTAAATGAGATACAGGGGTCCTATGATCACCGTATTTCATATTGAATAAAAAAATTTAAAAAAGTTTGAATACATATAAAAAGATAATTATACAATTTTGAATGCAAAATTAATCATACATTTCTACATTTCACAAATTATGATGTTAATCATAAATTTCACAAATTATAATGTTACATATATTATTAGAAGTCATAATAAAATAGTAAAAAAAAATTTACATCAAAACATCATTAAATGTTTCTTCGGACTTCTGAGAATCCAGTATTTCCGGCTTATACATCATTTTACACTTTATTAATATGGTTATAGTTAATTCTTTATGGATTTCAGGTAAGTGAGGTTTTGAAGAATGACATTTCTAAAAGTTTCTGTTAATCACTCCGATGTCTCGTTTTTAAATCTTCTGGTTACGAATTTCAGGTTACAATGTTCTGAGAGCTTCTGTTTGTTTGTTAATAATGATACATCACACACATTGGATCCTAGTTGATGATAAATATGAGGTTTGTAACACTAATCAAAAAGTATACTAGTGGAAAGATAACATCCAGGTAAAAGAGTTTAGGAAAAATACCAGTGGAAATATTATATAATATGTCAGGAACTGACATGACTGTTTTAATAAATTTAATTGAGTTTAGTGAGATTTCAGAAAAAAAAAAAATATTAATAAAACTATTAACTGCTGAATAGTTTATATTATTTTGGATACTTTAACACTGTCAACAGAAGAGGGTTTTATCAATACTTTTATATTTATATTTAATATTTTTGGATTCATATGTATTTTTATTAGTTCTAACAAAATCATTTTCATAATATTCAAAACATTTTTTGAAGTTCTTTAGAATTCTTAAGGGTTAATTTTTATTTTATCATTTCATGTATTAACTTATTTAATTCAAAATCAAATTCATTATCTGAAAGTGATTCTAAATTAATATTTCCATGAGCATCATGTTTTTCATTTGAGTTAGTCATACAGTTTATGATTTCATTCATGTCATTTGCATAGTTTTCCTTTTTGTTTGTAATATTATTTGGATTATTAATTTTGTCTTGACATGGTTTATCCAGTAAGTCATCAATTTTATCATTACTATAATATTCAGTCAATTTTTCTGTAGTTCTTTCTTTTGCGTTTATTTTTATTTCGGTTTCAATACCATGTATTAACTTATTTATTTCAATATCAAATTCATCATCTGAAATTAATTGTAAATTATTATTTTTATGAGTATCTTGTTTTTCAACTTGTTCTTCAGATCTAACAAACAGATTTCCATTTGAATTTTGGTTATTGATATCATAGGACATATCAATTTCATTAATGCAATTATGTTTCTGTTTGATAACATCATGTGAATTACAACTACCTTCAAATGATTCTTTTAATAACTGATTATTTTCACATGAATCTTCATTATGTAATAATACACTTAATGTTGAGTTGTTACTGCATAAATGTTTTTCTTCAAATAACTTATCAGGTTCATGTAAAGGTTGCTCGATGACTGGTTTAATATCTTTACAAATAGGATCTATTTTAGGTTTTTTATAATTTCTATGTAAAGGTTTCATTTTGAATAAACGTTCTAAATTTTTTTCTACTACTTTTATTTTTTTTTTAACAGAAATTGCACTGCCTTCATCAAAATCAAAGTTATCTGACAGCATATTTAAATTTATACCTGAAACAATTAATAAAACACATCAAAAATTTACCAAAAAATTGGCAACAACGGATCAATGGAAAATTATACTTTCAGATGCAGTTCTAAAGAAATTTTAGGCACGCCTAAAAAAAATATCAATATGAGAATAAGTTTGAATAACTTCTATATAAATCTACATTCTATAATTTATTATAAAATAGGTAGATGGCTGTTACAACGTTAATATTTGGCAACCACTCCTACGAAGCGCATATGTAGTTGGGATACAAGGTGGTAGTATCTCTGCCATAGATGGATGAGAAATAAAGGGAGACTGTAATGGAAGATAAGTCCACTTTATAGATGTTGAGTCATGGTTGAGTGGTGCGGAGGGGTAGCTTAATAATAATAATAATTGCCAAAATCATTGGAAATAATAATAATATTATTTTATTATCAATTTCTTAATCATTTATCATGTAACAGTCTACTACTTGCATTTTCTGGCTCTTGTATTCTGTAAAGTGAAGACTGTGTAATTTATCTCAAATTTGGAAATACGAGGGCTAATCAAAAAGTATCGAGACTGATAATATTACTCGGAAACCGAGCGTTGAAGAGCAAAACGGTTTGTAAACCTTGCTTCTATGACTTATACTGAGCACATCTATTCGTATAAAATCTCTATAAACTTCTTTGTTTTGATTTGACGATATTTTTCTAAAATTTGTTTTTCACGTTTGGCGATTTCGTAATGAATCCAAAAGAAGCGGAACTCGCTAAAAACCATGAAATGTTGCATCCCTCTGAAACTGGAAAAAAATGCAGATACATTATCTAAAATCTCCAAATCTGTCAAGTTACTCTTCTTTTGGGTTTATTACAAAATCGCCAAACTCGAAAAATATATTTTACAAAAATATCAGTGAAATCAAATCGAAGAATTTTATAGAGAAGCAATAAAAACAAATGTACTCAGAAAAAGTCATAGAAGCAAGTGATACCAATCCTACTGCTCTTCGATGCTCCTTTTCCGAATGATACTATCAGTCTTGATACTTTTTGATTAGCCCTCGTATGTGTGGAAACACGTGCCAATATTTAAATTGTGGCAAATCAAAGGTAAATGTTTTAAAATTTAAAAAAGACGTCCTAGTATAATGGGTGCAGCCACTGTTATAGGTAATTTAATGTATATTTGTAAGCAACGATAAACCATTGCTAACAAAAAAACGATTCTGAGCTCAGTTCAGTTGACAGTGATGCTTTGCAACAATATATATGTAATATTATGTTAAATAATTAAATAGGTATTATATATTTTCTTTAATAATATTTGTTTACTATTGTATCGGTTTTTCTATTTTTCCCATGTTTTTTTTTTTGGATTTTCATATTTACTTAAAAAATATTCTTAGTATTCAGTCACTAAAATATTCAGTCTTCATAGTAAATGAGTTAAAACCTATTCATCAGCGATCATTGATAGGTAAAAATATTCAATTGTGGAACTTTTAAAACTCTCATTGGTGCTTCTCTAGTCTCTGTCATGTCCGTGTTTATAGCACCCCCGTGCATGTATACCTCTCCCACCCTCAGGCCCAAATCTGCAAATAATAATCAAATTTACCTAGACTATTTAAATCAAATCGTAACTATAAAATCGTAACCTTCTGCACCAGACACTAAATTAAATAATTACTCTTCTTCGATAGTACATAAAATAATATTAAAATTAAATAATAATAAATATTTATTATTAAATGATACTGACCAGAAAATATCAATGTCCACTTGAACTGTGATGAATGACGATGAAATGATGAGTATCGATTGCCAATAATTTTCCTGATTTTCCTAGGTATTTAATACCTAAATTTAAACGATACATAATTATCTTATGGGTAATTATTAAAAATTTTTGTTTTATTTAACTATAAAATGTATGTACTCTAAAATAAATACCTGTAGAACTAATATGTTCAATTAAACTATGGTTTTAAAGGTTAAAAAGACAAGATATAAAGACCCTTATAAAGTTAGCAGCACAATCATAACGGACATTTATGAAATTTATGCAACAAATGTATGTATTGGTAACTTGTTGGACATTTTTTAATCCCTCCCTAAATATATTGGACATTATTTTAACCGGAAAAGCGTTTTCAAATTTAGCTGCCAACTATACTGTAACAAAAAACAAGAGTTGTTTACAACAGACAATGTTGAGGCACTGCATGACAACATTACTACCACTAATCACTATTAGGTTACACTTATTTTCTTTATTCAGAATCGTTCGAGGGTTTTAAGAACATTTATAAAAATGCAATATGTTTTTTATTAATTTTTTTATGTTATTTATAAGTAATAGACATTGATTATATTATGCCACAGTAATGTACGTCATAAATATTATACAAGGTGTCCCAAGACGATCTGACACAAGAAATAACTGTTGTTCTATTCAAAATGTATGATATATTTTTATTTTTTTAAATAATCAATATGCTTTTGCGTTACAATTTATAGATGAACATTTTTTTTTTTTTTTGGGAAGGGAGATTTAAAATTTTATTGGAATTTTAAACTCTTTTATTGGGAAAACTGACTAGAAAATCAAAAAATTACCTGCCCAAAGTGCCACGCCAAGAAAATTTTCTTTCAGAAAAAGGTCTGCATCGTATACATCGGAGCACGATTATTAGTAGAATTTGTGTACACAGTATGAAAAAAAAAGAAAATAAATAAAAATAAACATCTTTGTAAAATCAATACATTTTTCGCTACACTCAGAATCTAAAATACAGGTATGTATATAATATATTTATGTACATTAGCATTGTAATTTGTATACAAACACAAGCCATCCAGCTAAAAAGAGCACATCCGTTCGCGCATACGTGACTGACCAGTGACCGCAGAACGTTGCCGGACCACACCCCTACTTGATAGATCGGAAACAATCGTTGCCGATCGTACACCGTCGCCGTACAATTCTGTACGCCGCGCGCTGACGTCGCGGCCGCGTATACGGCGAGTTTTAATATCTATAATACCTATCGCCAATTGCATCGTGATACGCACGCATACCCACACTGTTTCAGTCAAATGTTAACGGGCAACATAGAAAAATTACATTACAGCACAATCGCAGCGTTTATTCAAATTGAAACAGGGCCGTTTGTGCGAGAATGCAGGTCATCATCACGCCATGTTAAAAATAATGTTATCGATACTTCGTTTTCTGCGTGTGTATCTATTGGCGATGGCGGGCGGGTGAGTGGTGGACGAAGCGGTACCCGGTTATTTGGAGTGGGAATATGTGCGCTAAAACGGGTGCTTTTTCGTCCGCCGCCGGGTATGCTCCTAAGTTTGACACCCACTCCTAAAATATCAATGTACTAGCCGACCCGTCACGGCTTCACCCGTGATTGGTTGTTTAATTTGCCTTTGGATAATGATATATAGAACTTTTTAATCAAATTCCATCGTTTAATAATATCGGCAAATTAATATAAAAAAAAAAAAAAAACGGTTAATGAAAACGTATTGAAATGTTTCAAGCGGGATTAATGACAAATATATTTTTACTAAAAATGAATGCAGATACAAAAGAAATGCTGAGTAATTTACGGTTGATAAAGAATTTTATAAAACTTCTGAGTATATGGCGTTTTTTGTTATATTTCCTGTTGAAATTAAAATCATAAGATGCTTCGGGTCCCCAGTTCGAGAAAATCCCACGTATAATTGTCCATGTGAAAAGCACTGTGTTCGAAGACCTACGCCAACGTACCTGTATGTTTGACCTTGAGCTTTGTTTATCGTGATTGCCAAAGAAACTTTAACAGAGAATTAAAGCCGTTTGAACGGAAACGGCAAGTCCGACGGAATCACGGGAATTCTTGGAATAAATGCAATTTCTCCTTTTGCCGGCCCCGTAAGAATGACGGCTCCTATAACACTATTCTGCAACGATTTTATTTGTCATCTTGTACCGTTACATAACTTCGGTGGTTGAAGATTACGTAATAATGTAATCGGAGTACCAATTTTTAATTTTAGCTTATGAAGAGGAAATCCCGAAGGAGAAAGAGAATTGAGAAATTATTGTAGATATANACGCCGATGTCAAACACGATACAATTTGACGAACAAAAAGGTCAGGTCGCGGGTAGCTGTAAACCCGCGGGCCGCCGTGCCGCACAATACGTATATAATATGGGTAGACAATTTTTTAATTTTTCAAGAACTTTATACTTATTTTTTATTGACAAAAGTGGTACTAAAACCTTCAGCAGAGTGTCGGGTACAACGGTAAAAAATTTCAGCCAAATCGGTACGGTGGTTTTCTCGGTTAGCGCGGTCGTAGAAAACCCCTTACAATTTTATATAATAGTATAGATTGCATAATGAATCGCTGTTTCGTTGTCGAAACGCGCGTGTCAACCGAAAGGTCCGATAATGATTTATGGGATTCAATACGCGGAGTCACGCGTAGTTCTCGATCGAGAAATCCGTATATCTAAACACGCGCGTCCATCGTCCATGTGAACCTAGCCTAAATGATTAGTTAATATAACGAAGTTATAATAATAACAATATAGTATAGATATGAATATTGGGTATACGTGTTGTCGGTGTAAGTGCGATATACTTCTCGGAACGCCGATATCAAACACGATACAAAAAAAAGGTCAAGTTACAGGTAGCTGTAAACCCGCGACCCGCCGTGCCGCACAATATAGGTACAATTGTTTTTAATTTTTTATGAACTTTTATGAACTTTTTTACTGACAAAAGTGGTACTATAACCTTCAGCAGAGTGTCGGGTTTCAGCCAAAAAAAATTTCAGCCAAGTCGGTCCAGTAGTTTTCTCGGTTAGCGCGGTCGAAGAAAAACCCTTATAATTTTATATAATAGTATAGATTAACAATTATAGTTTCTAATGACACAAATTAAGGTGTTACAAAATATAACGTTGAATAAATTAAGATAAAAGGAGGGGGGAGTAGGGGG